AGAGAGAACTTAGATGCATAGATTTTTGAGAAATCTGCAGTTTTCGCATTCAGGCGGCTGCAAAGGTTTTTGACTATCGATTATGAATGTAAAGCAAAAACGTCATGCTTAGTGGAATTCAATGAGCGCTGCATTCGCTTCTCCTTCTATATGATAACTATAGTGTTTTTAGATCACTGATATAATCAGTAGTCGTTTTTTGAAGATGTTCGTTGTAAGTGGCGGTCAGGAAAACTGGTCCTTTCCGCACTGAATAAGAACTGGTTACTTTATTATATCCAGCCAAGTAGCTATTTGAGCTCGTTTTACTTTCAAGCATGGACTTACTGAATTCATCTGTCTAGGGTGCCGAGGGTCCGATGTACTGCTCCTCAATGTAGAGCCCTCTTACGTCCTCTGCACACCGTCTCTTGCGCGGAAGTTTGTGTGATTCCCATCCTGGCGTTACACGACACGGCCGCATAAACGAGGAGCTGTTCTGTGTATCCTAACATATCCTAACATTTGGAACGCTGGCGCGCCACCGATAGGATTTTTGATGTAATGAGCCAAATTGAAAAGATTTTCGAATGCTGTTTTCCTGTGTGACCGGGCTGGAAAGAATCATGACCGTGGGAGAGCTTAAGGTTGATAAAAAGCTCAGTCAAAAAAGACCTATTGGTTTAGTGATGAAGGATTACTTGCAGTACCATTTGTGCTCTTTCATCTCGAAAATGCGAAAACAAAACATTTTGATAGATGATGAGATTTTGGATGCGATATTACTGTAAAGTGAACGTGACAAAGATTGCTGTTCATAGAGCATCTTAGCCTTCATTTATATCTTTCTTGTGAAGTCTTGTGGAACATCTGGCCTGCTTTTCTTTCATGATCACTTATTATACGTGAGGCTCATGGATAGCGGCCAAAATATGAATCATTCTTCAAGTCATCGCTTCATATTACTGTAAAGTGGACGTGGCAAAGTCTGTTGTTCTAGCAGCATCTTAGGCTTCATCGGTATCGTTTTTTGTGGATATCTGGCGTTTAACTCTGCTTGTTCTATGAGCGTTTACATAATTCACCAACATTCCTTTCCAGCTCTTGAAGGTCCATACCGCGGTCAAAATCGGTCGTTATTACACTCGTGAAAAAAGAAGTGAAGAGGACGCCAGTGCGGTGAATAGAGAAAAGGATTCGGGAAACCCTGAAATCAAATTCCTTCTTTTCTTATGATGTCGACCGTGGTGCGAAGGAAAGGCTAAGCCTGACGTACATAGAGAGGATACCGAGAGAGCACGTCGCAGGAGAGGGCGCAGGCACTGCATATGCTGTGAAAGAGTCAAACGTGGGAGTTGTCGCAGTGGTCAAGACAAAACCCCTTCGCCTTTATCGGGCACTTTTGAGTCGCTACAGGGCCAAGGCTTCTGTGTTTGGGGTGCCTCACTCGCGAAGTGATTTGTTCTAAGGATCCTAGTAGCGGGCAGTGCCTCCTTGTTTTTCCCCAAACTCCTCGCTATAGGTGCTTTCTTTTGAGCCTGAACACTGAAGACAAAGCGAGGCAGTGTTCAGAAATCGTTTCAGCGTCTTTATTGTCGTTGTTAATGATGTGGCCTATTTTTCGGCTCATAAGCAGTGAGTGCCGTGTATTGTCTAGTTCTTTGGCCGCTCAATGAAGAAGTCAACACCGTGCGGTTGCTTCTCTGACTCGTTTCTAATCAGGTCAAGGAAATGCGAAGTGGATCTTATTTGAAATTTGAGATTCGGCATGTACTTCGACAGGAGTTGCTCACAACTTTGTCACTCATTTGGGACAAGTTTTTCAGCCTAGCTCAAGGATGGTGACAGGGTCAGTTATATGCAATGGTGTCTAGATCAGAAGCGTGTTCTAGTATGATAGTGACATCTTTTACTCTACTTCATGCTCTGGATGACAGAGCGATTGGGTGTGCAGTGATAGATTAGAAATACTTCATGAAATCGATGTCAACTATTCTTTTGGATTTTGTTCTATCTCATCATTGAAAAGTGAAATTTGGCCAGCAAATCCTTGCAATCGTTCGGACGTCACGGATGCGGGACAACCCCTAAGAAAAGGGGCGTGGCCGGCCTGACGTCGCACACTTGAACTTTTGCCACACAGCTACTGAATTTGCTGCACCCTTTCGCCTGTCTCACGGATATCTTCTGCAATGCATGATCGGAAAGGAGTCGTCCGGGCAGTGCTCGACGTGTTCCATCCCTACCACCCCTTCCCTACAGGCCACGATTTTGATTGGAAAACGTGGAGTTGACGTGGCATCGATTCAAGAGAATTTTTGGGCACGATATCATCTTTTCATGAATAACATGCCGCATGCGCCAAGTCGTGCATCTGGTTGCGGAACACAGATTATACCATTTTCATATCCATTAGGTAGTTGTGTGCTGTAGAAAGCTGTAGAATGTAGAAAGCTGTATGCTGTAGAAAGGCGATGTGCATAGGGTCTGCAAAACCTGCGCGCATTCTGTTGGATTACAGACCATACTCGAAGTCGATAAGGCGTATCACCGGAAATGACGTGGCGTCGGCTGCACTTGATAGAAGTTGCGTGGATGAGCTGCTTCTGGCCTGCCTTGCTGATTCCAGCGAAATATGTTGGAAGCGTTTATCCGCGCGACTTCTATCAAGTGCAGCGGTTGCCACGTCAAGTCCGTAGAATCACCTAATCAGACGGTCAGATATGAACAATATGTGCGGTCCATGTGGTTGAGAGCTCGTCCTTGAATTGTATCGTCATTCTTTCCCAGCTCGTATTCTTGCGGAGGAGATGTGATGGCACGTGGTGCCACTTCCCACGCACACGAACCGAGAGTCAAATCTCGGACCGGATTCTTCTCAGGACAGCACAGCCTTCTACCTCTCCTTATCGCGTAGTCAACATTAGGGTCTGGGAAGACAAAACTTTGGCTCGTACATAGGCTAACGTCTGCAGTTCACAGTATAGGCCTCCTTATTTAACCTATCTACGCCAGCGAGACTTACGATGCTGTTATCCCGTTGTATGCACGTCTACTTTGAAAACTATGTTTCGGTGATATTTGCTCCGATTTGGCGAAGCTTGCTTTTTATTGTCTGCCTCTTTCTGGCCCCATCATTCGAGCTTTAGCAAAATTTCTTCGTCATTGCTCTATGATGTATTGCGAGGTTATTTTCTGAAGTGCAATTGTCGAAATCTTCGGCAACTTTCTGAAATTTTGTCTTGAACAGCGGCAACTATTACTCAGTTGCGCACCTGTTACTTACCCTAATCCAGGAAGTGCAGTTTTGTGTCTTAATGTTATTCTCAAATTCTCAAATATTTTGTACTCCTGCCCCCTGAACGCTCACGTTGAAGTACCTTTATCACCTGATAACAACAAACACAACTCGGTTTCTGATTGATCTGTCTCTTTGGTTTCACTGCATCGTTTTCGAGTGTTCTTTCGGTAAGCTTAGAATGCCATTTTTAACAATATTTGTTTCCAGGTCAAACACCGGGTTCGGGCGAAACTAGATGCATCGTGCAGGCATGCTCTGTCGTCTGGCATCGCCAAGCCGTTCGGCTGCGATTGCGGTTCGTAGCACATCATCGTCTGTTGGAAAACCTGGAAATCCGATCGCCGCACCCACAACACAGGTATATTCAGAAGCTTTTTCTGACCATAGGGGTCTCGCATTCCCAAATGGATCTGAACTCACTGTTAGTTGTTCGTTTGAGTCTGGATACTTGTGGGTTAACTCTGAACCTAACTAACATGAATGTGACACTCAGAGTCGGTGGTCCATCGCCTTGCAATCGCCGAGTGTGACCGACATCTCACTTCTAGTTTCGCTTTTATTTTCTCACTATTTGAAGAAAAATTTATTTCCTTCAAAAAATATCATATCATATTGGATTGATTCACTATGAGTTACACCTGATTTTTGCAGATCAAATTGGGAGGAATCGTAAGCTTTTTACCACCATTTTTTTTTACATTTTTGGACTTTTCGGCAAAATATGATATGGAAATGATGATCGTCCCCTCGACCTTAAAATTTTTTGAACTTATGGTTAGAAGGAATGTTAACATATGGTTTTTCAGATGTGCTCCACCGATTGTATTTATTTAGGGACTAATTTGAAGGCACATTTATAATTTGCCAATTAAGCGGGCGTGTTACGAAATTTCACGTTCCGCTTTCGTTATAAGTTTCGCAATCAAATTTTAAAAACGAGATCAATTTGACAGAGTTATTGGCAATTTACTTCTCCTTATTCATTTTTGAAGGCGCTTTCCTGCCCACCTTAACTTAACAATAGCGAACTACTGATAATAAACAAATAAAGTTTTGTTAAGGTCATTGAACTAACGATAAGTGTTAACCGCCAATTTTGAAGGTTCGGCAACAGTCGTTGGCTTCCGCTGTCAGTTCCGAGCCTTTCATGAATGCCACCTCATCCATGTACATCGAGCAGGTATTCGTTTGAAATATATGAATAGAATTCCGTGAAATTGGCCGGTCACCCTTTGCTGAATTTAAAAAAAATCTATTTTCAGATGTATGATGCCTGGAAAGCGGATCCGAAGTCTGTTCATGCATCATGGGATGCGTACTTCAGGAACGTCGAAGGTGGCGCTGCTCCTGGTCAAGCTTACCAGGCGCCACCCACCGCGTATGGTGCTGTTGGTGTACCAGGAGTTTCACCGCTCATTCCTGGCGTAGCAGTTGGCGGAGGATTCACAATGTATGCTCCAGGATACCTTTACTCCTAAAGATGCTGCACAATTTAATGAATTTGTATCATCGCTGAGAGAAAGACTTTAATCTTTCTCAGAGAGGAGGAACCTGAAACACTGAAGGGAAGTTTAGCAACTGAAGAACCTAAATCGATGAGTGCGGTGGATGTTCCACAAGTTATTGAAGCTCCTGCGAGGGGTGGATTTGGAGGAAGAAAGAAAAGTCTGAGAAAAACACTGGAATATAGACCGTTCTCAATTCGAGACTATGGTAATGGTAAAGGGTTCGTGCTTTCCTTCAAAACAAAAAGCTCAGAACGCCCGCGCGACTTTTAGACGTCTTTCATAGGTTCAGGGGTTCATAGACGAGAGCTGACTTCTGGGGGTGTGGCGTTTTCAGACATGGCACGATTGAGTTCGAAATCTTGAATAAGAATTAGATTAACAATTTGAATTTGAGGAGGTCCCATGAATGCGCTGCTTCCACAGCCCCCCCCCTCCCTACTGGCCGCAAGTGCATGGCTGTGTGCGTCTCAGTTGCCCCCATAATTTATCGCTGTGCATTTCTTCTTCTCAGGTTTCTTCATTACCTTCAAAAAAAGGGCCTCATTTTTTTCAATGACCACTATCCAACTTTCACTCCGAGAAGGGTTAGTACATTGTATGTAATAGCGTACATTGTTATAACTCTTCCGTTGGAGCGTCCCTATAGTTACTTTAGCTGAACTTTGCTGTTTTCATACTTCAACGGCGATTTTGCTATCTAATGGCTCACTAAACTATTAGTTGTTCTACCATTTAGGCCTCAGGTTATGCCATCACCTTCTGTCGCAGCGACCACAGGACTCGACACTTCAGTGCAGGCGATCACTGATCATCTCAAGGTCCAACTTCTCATTAGAAGTTTCCAAGTGAGTACCTTTGTTTTTGAGTGTATAGCAAGCTTTTTCTCCGATGTGCAATCCGCTTGGTCAGTCACTCCATCACTTCGGAACTTTAGACTCGTGGCCATAACATTGCCGATCTCGACCCACTTGGAATCAACAGCGCTGATCTTGATGATACCATCCCACCAGAGCTGGAGCTGTCTTTCTATGGATTCGGGGAACGTGACCTCGACAGGTGGGGTTTCCTGTTAACTTGGTTACGT